CAAGGGAGAACCACGTCGGAAAATCTGGATGAACTTTCTCGGCCAATGCAGGGATCGAACACCCGACCTCCAGGCTAGCGAGCCAGCGTCTTACCCACTTAGCCACCGTGATCCCCAACACAAAGTAGGATTGACTTTTCACTCCTTAATGACGAATCCATAATTTGGCCAACTACATGTAGTCAGAAAGTTTAATTAAGTCAGAAAACTAGAGGAGTAGAATGAAGGTGCTAAAATAAGATTCCGTGTCGAAAGAGAGAAAGTTGGACAGACTAAAAGAATATGTGAAAATGAATGGCTGATTAAAGAACGTGTTGAATATAATACAATGGCTCATTCTGTTTAAATTGGTTGTCTTTTAGTCCGTCTGGGTAAACAATAAGAACCAATAATCAACATTTCTGTCAATCCAAATAACACCATTTTGTTCTTTTATTGGAACAATTTGTTTCTCCGTATCGATTTCCGTTCTAATAAAGAATATCCTTTTTAAATCATTTGTGTCATTAGAATAATAATTAACGGATAAATTAGTTTTCTGTGTTGGTCTAGATGAAAGCAAAATAAATACATGCATCGGCCTCCTACACTAATAATTGCGCATTAATTTCTCCAACACTTTGGGTTTTTTTTTATCTAAAGTAATTAATTAATTAATTAAAGATGCATTATGGGAGATTAGATAAAGAGCTGACAGTTCTCTTTATAATAGCTAAAAAATAGGTAATGAAAATATTAGCGATATAGGTTAGCCTCGATTGTCTTTACTAAGGTTGGTACGACAATAAACAAAGTCTCGATTATCCATTTTTACCTTAAATTACCCATCACAAAATGGATTCAAATCTAGTAAATGACGCAGGCTAACAACGATGGCATCGAGGGTTGATTATGCTCTGGATAAGTTAATTAATGTCTAATTAATAATTTAGATAACATATCAGGCCTAAAGAAAGACCTGCAATAGGCAGATTTAGCTCTTGCATAATGTATGTTTAATATTTCCGACGTGGTTTCCCTTTGTCAGTGGTGCAGAACGGAGGGCCTGACAAGGACAGCTGTCTAGTCCTTCGGATTAGACGAAAAACCGAGGTCCCGTGTATATATTGGAATGCACGTAAAAGATCCTTTGGAAGTTGGAATTCGATATAAGAGTAGGCGATAGTGCCGCTGCCCGGGCAAAATTTCCCTCATAGCACACTGTATGGCGTATGCCCGTCTTCATTAGCCCAGTATAGGAGCAGAACAGTAGGACGTTAAACCCCATTTCATTTCATTTCATGTTTAATATATTATTATAACAGTGTACAGTCCATGTATTATCTGAGTGCTGCCTTGTGTAATATCCTATTTATCCATATTCAGATGGGTAATTCAAGTAAATTGCTCCACAAAACTATGAGAGACAATACGTGCTAATATACAAGCGGGGAATCGAAATCTTGGCATTTGATTCAATGACATACCTTCTGATTCAACGCGCACGCATTGACCATTCGTTACCCCTTCCCACCCCCACGGCCAATGAAGACTGACATACGCCATACTTATGAAGGAAAATTTGCCAGCAGCAATGATTTCCAGCTGTCAACAGATCTTTTACGCGTGTATGCCAACGTGTACACGGAACCTCGGTTTTCCGTCCCATCCGAACTACTAGACGCTGTCCCTTGCCAGGTACCTGTCCTGCACCACTAACAAGGGGAAACCACGCTGGAAAATTCCTGAGAACCCCTTACTCATTTAGCCACCGTGGCTACAGAGTTCAATAACTCCATTCAATATCATCCATTCATATTCCATCTGTTTATTTTCTAAAAATACAAAAAAAACAACTTGGTTCTATATATTGTTATTCATACAGGCCCTATTTCAATTCACGTATTCTTCTGATCCTATAGAATCATATTCTTTCCTTTAAAATTATTATGGTGTGTTACCTCTATATACACCCCGATCCCCTTTTATAACTAAAGAAAAGACTGTTCAACATCTGATTTAATACCCAACGTATTACGTTTTCTCGAAATTCGTTAGCGGGGGTTGGATGGCTGAATGGTTAGCACGTGCGGGATGTGTCATAAAGTCTGTCATTGAGTCAGCTGGCGTGGTTTCGATTCCCCGGTTGTACGTGACAAGGAGTAGGGTCGCCTGTCCAACCTCGTGGGTTTTCTCCGGGTCCTCCGGTTTCCTCCCATTGCTAAAGACCCCTCCGCGCCACCGAATTATGGACATAAAATTGAACCATATGTTAGTCCCAAAATGACCTAGTTTGTGTCGAGTGGACGTTAAACCCCATCTCTCTCTCTCTCTCTCTCTCTCTCTCTCTCTCTCTCTCGAAATTCGTTAGCTATATATAATTTTGATGTATCAGCTTGGATAATAGGCCTACTATAGTATTGAAAAAACGTCATCATCTTAAAACATTGATTATAGTATAAGAGAAGATGATAGCAAAATCGTTAGTGAAACAAAGCATGATAGATGTAAATTTTATTTATATTTAGTTTTCTGTATTTAACCTTGTGACAAAAACTGTTGTCATAAAAATCCACCTCATTGATTAACTTGTGGAATACTAATTAAGTATTGTGTAACATATGGATACATTATATACGCCAGGCCAGGTTGTTTTCTACATAAGTACAATGAAAAAATGAACTCGTTGAATAGCTAATTTCGTTCCTATTTTGGTCTTGAAAAACTTGAACACGCGGCGCGTGGCGTGTGACACAACGTTTTGATAGCATAATAGCCCAGGTGGGAATGGCATATTATTATAACCAATATAGTCTTATTATTTCAAGTTGAGTAACTTTACCTTTTTAATAATCGATAAAAATCGATAAAAAACCCGATGAGAAATTTGAACAAGGGAAAGCAACGCGGTCTTAGATCACGACCCCCTTTCTTATTGATTTTAAAAATGAAAGAACGGTTTTGTGGCCTATATTATTATTTATTAGTGGCCCACGCGACCATTGTTGTTTTTTCCTAAATACCCAGTTCGGAATATAAAAAAAAAGAATCATAAACCATGCAGTTTTTTGTTCAAATCAAAAATTGAAATGCTAGCTGTTCGTCCGTGAGGAAATTGATACATAAATCAAGTCATTAAACAATAAATTATTATAAATTTAAAAAATCAATTCTTTCAATTATTGGTCTGAACGTTTGTACATTTCACGTCATTATTTAACTTAAAAACTTTCCTAATCTTCGGAAATTCGTCGAACCAACGTTAGAATAAATTAACTCTTAGAAAACAATATAGGATAAATAACATTGGGTCCTACTCATAATGTTAAATTTTGACTTTGTTTTCAATTAAAAACACAAAACAAAAAGAATCCATTGACACAATTCAACGCCTGAGTAACTTTTCTGACTGACCAAGCATCGTATGATAAAAAGCCATAAAAACATCGGAGTATAGTCTTTCCTGTCAAAGATATTAAAGATAACTTCGTTGAATGACGTTCATTTGTTATAAAATTATTCTAGTTACATATAACAGTATTGTTCTATGTTTTAACAACCAATAATAAAATACATGCGCATTTGTAGGCAGATTGTCATTTCAATTACAACGCTAAACTATATTTAATAAACTTCAAAGTAAACTTTCAACCATAAAAGCCATGGCGCGTGCGGGTATGTTATAATATTATTATCGTCGTGTTTTTCTATTTAGTTGCAACACGTGCGTGCAATTTTTATAGCGAACAAAAATATCGATTCAATACATCAATAATATATAAACTGATAGGCAAGGTACATTGCAAATAGAATAACTTAAAAGTACAAAATAACGGTACACGCACCGACTTCAAGAGTTGCGTCCCTTTACCAAATATATTTGCTTTACTGTTTTCTTTGAATTAAAGAAGTCTGCAATGTGGTGGCTTGAAAAAAACTTTTAAATATTTTGATAATTTTCGAGACCAACTAGTGCTTATCAATCTCCAATATCGATGTTTAAAATATGATGCCGTCAATTTATTTCCCTTTTCTATTTACAACATAAAGGCTGGGATTGTACATAAAATAATAGATATCTGTCTTCCAATAAATAGTTGTGTCCGTCAGAAGCTCCATGCACATGACGCTACATATTGTCAAATGTGGGCGTCGTTGCATTAGTCAGTAATCACAGCAAATAAAAATTTTGTTTCAAAATAACACCAGTAGGCCTAATAGAATGCAAAAATATTACCCCCCTCCCCCATAGATCCAGCCTCGTGGGTTTTCTCCGGGTCCTCCGGTTTCCACCCACTGCTAAAGACCCCTACGCGCAAGCGAATTATTGAAATAAAATTAAACCATATGTTAGTCCCAAAATGACCTAGTTTGCGTCAAGTGGGCACAACCATCCCCTGCATAAAATAACAAGAAATCTAATAAACTTTCCCAAAACGTTGAGAGATCCTAATTCAACAACTTAACACGCAATTAAAAAAAAGACATCAATAATGCCCCTCATCCTTCACATAATGCTTGGATGAGGGGTCATTTTCCGAGATTGTTTTGGTTTATTTTTATTCTTTTATTTTAATCCCTTATAATAAAAACTGTTAAAGGTTATAGACGGGGCCTGCTATTTGTGTCCCCAAGGTTATATAAACGTGGATAAATATTACATAAATTTTTCTACTAAATAAAAGAAATTCCGTGTTCATCGTGTTTCAACGTACTTAAAAACAAGAAAGATGCCGCAATGCACACGAACCAGCTTATCCGTTAAAAAGATGCCGCTAGCTTAGTTAAAATAAAATCATATCAAATTCCATTTTCTCTTCCATTACTAAAATGCCGCATTGACAAAAAGACTTGTCCCCCAATTTGAGTACTAATCCCCCTTCTTACGCTGTTAACATCTAATACAAGAATACTCTAGCTGGCACGTACAATAATGTGTGTAAACAAAACCACGCGCGACGCAGGGCGCAGACATCTTAGGTGAGAGGTCAGAGTGGAGTTGCAACGAGGCTGACAGGAGCCGTGTCCGCGAAAACATTTCAAATGAGCTGAAGTTGAGATAAGTCGGCAAAAGTTTCGCCTCAAAGGTTTTGAAGGTGTTGTGACTTAACACTGTTGAAGTTTTAGTTAATCTATGAGGATATTGGAATATTAAAAGTAGTTTATTTCAAGGATGGTACGGAATCCGTTATTTGTACTCGTCATACTAGTCATGTTGTTATACGCGTGCGGTAAGTTTTTCTCTACTATAAATTTGTTATAATAACTGTTATGACACATGTTTGAATTTCTGCCTACAAAATTTTAATTTAGTGAACTAAAAAGTGAATGTTTACACATCCTGGTACATTTAGGGCACTAGAGAAAGTGTGTGCAGTCAAAACTTAGAAATTTGAAGCGCTTGTACCGTAACACTGGTTGAAAGATCTGACGGGAGCAGACGAAATATTTTGTTATTCGTTGGATGTGCAACAGTGCACGGGGAATACAGGGGTTATTTTGTATTGAAAGTGAATTTAAACGGCCTGATATTATAAGGCGACATGCAAGAATTACTTCCAATTCAACCGTTATTATCGATGTTTTGACGGCAAAATTCATGCTTCGTTTGCTCCTGTATCAGAGATGCACGTGAATATCGATAGAAGCTTGCCGTTAGTAATGAATAGTAAATGTTTATAAAAGGGGCGAGGGTGCGATGTAGGATGATATTTAACCATACAAGTAACGAACGTTTAATAACAGTTAATGGTTTTTATGGTATATAACGCAAGAAACTATAAGAGTGAAAATACAGCTAAGATTTTACACTGATATACCTAATAATTTACATAAACACAGTAGCTAAGTAAAGATACATGGTTGCGGTCCATTTACATCTCGTCAGAAAACGTACTATACTGTTGAGTTACAAGCCAGATGAGTGACATGTATGAATGCTATCGATTTCTTTGAGTTCTATTATATTTCTCCCACAGCTAGTACAATATTCCATAATATCTTCAAAAATCTCCAGTTGTTTCTTTGTCAACTGTTGTAACATGTTGCACTTTATCTTAGGAAGGTTAGGCTTTAAAATGCTAAAATTTAAAACGTGGTATATTAGCTATTTAATATGTTGTTACAACTGTGCATTATTGACTGATAATTGGTGGATAATATCAGAAAACATTTCTAGCTACCTCTACAAGAGGTGTTGACAAAAAGAGCATGCCTACACCACTTAGTGAAGGATAGGCCTATTTGACATTTCATTTAATAACTGGAAAATGAATTATCATTCCCATCAACAACAAAAAATGCAATTCTAATTTAATTTTGGTTAATACCATTTTCAAAATGATCTTAGAGTTTCCAAATTATCAAAATTCCAATGACGGAACATACCTTGTAGAAAAGGCCGAATGTATTTGTCAAGCTTCAAAACTCAAGGAATATTTAGGATTCTAAATTAAAAGTTCAATCATCTTATTCTCTCTCATTTCTTACCATCTAATTTGAACATTCCTATTGTAACTGAAGTATAGGACGGCAAACTCCACTGCATTGCATTGCATTTCAATTCTGTATTAACTTTACATAGAGTCAAATCTAACTGACCAAACCTCAACGAAGCGTTAATTTCTATTCCTCTTTAAAATATAGTTATAATATTAGTAGTTATATAAATAAATTTAATATACAGTAAGTACACATATAACATCAATCAGTAATTTATTAATGAAAGTAATATAAAACTTAGCAAGTTAGCAGGTATAATATGTACATGTTCTTTTATCAGTTTCTTCTTCATAGAAACGCTTTGATCAGTAATGTCTATATCAGATATATCATATTTAACTGTATTCTGTAAAGGCGTGGTTTTGAACATTTGTAATTAGAGAAGTTTCCATATCTTTTAATGCATGAGTTTAGAAGAATTTACATCAATCATTAATTTGGTTATGATAATGTTTGAAAACATGGCCAAATTATGGAGCTATGTCAGATTGACTATGAAATTTTGAGGCAATGGTAACCCACTAATTGCTTTCTGACCTCTTTTCACGCCAATTTGATGCTGAATTGAATAGCATTCAAATGTTATACAGACATTATATTGTGTCAAAAACATCATATTTAAAATACTGGATTTATAGTTAACCTACTAAAAACATGTGAGTACTTGAAGTTGTTCCATTTCTGTAGTCTCAAGTTGTTCACATGAAGGAAAGATTACAGTTGATGTTGTTTAATGATTCTGTGTAATTCACAACACATTGGTCTCATTAAATATTGTAAAAGATGAAAGATGAAGTTAAATGACTTGTACAAAGTTTACAAAATATTATTATAGGAATTGGTTGGTCTGTTTATGCTTTTGGTATTGGTAATTTTCACATGAAACCATAAAGTCTGTCATTGTGTCAAGTCACATGGTTTCGATTCCCCACTTGTACATGACAAGGAGTAGGGTCGCCTGTCCAACCTTGTGGATTTTCTCCGGGTCCTCCACTTTCCTCCCACTAGTAAATTTTTGAAATAAAATTGAACAATACATGTATGTTAGTCCTAAAATCACCAAGTTTGTGTCGAGTGGACATCAAAACCTATTTCTCTCTCTCTCTTTTGTTAAAGCCACTGATCGCTGATCGTCTTTTGTATTCTTTGGACAATATCGATTAAAAATCTCTCAAATGACAACCAGTGAGTTTAAAAGTATAAATATCTGTTGAGCTATTGAATTCAATGATCATATCATATTTTTGTAGACTTTTTTGTATCGGAAAATAACTCTGAAAGCACTGGATTGAGAGTTTAGAAACCATCTTTCATCATTCTCTAAACTCAGAAGTGTTTTTTTCTCAAATTTTGTTTAAATTTGTTAGAAAATTGTTTATAAATGTAAGGAGATTTTACTGGGTATATCTTGATTTAAGATGGAGGACATGTTGTGTGTACATATGGAATCTTCAACTGACAATTATCAGTTAGACATAAAGTTTTCTTCACTAAAACCACACCATGATGCGTGTGAAAGAAACATGAGACCAACCCCAGCTTGTGTCTTGTACATTTAGTTCACTTAACTCATCGCCAACCACTTAATAGATGTAGTTAATATAGTACTATTATAATATATTACATACAAAAAATATCCACTATATGTATACACTGTTGTATCTTGTAGATACCAAATTAATAATTGAATTTTAAAATTTTTTGAATTTTGTTCACTAACATAGTTAATATAGTACTGTTATAATATACATAAAATATCCACTATATGTATACACTGTTGTATCTAGTAGAATGGGGGGGGGGGTGGATGGCCAAATGGTTAGCATGTGCGCGCTATATCATAAGGCCTGTCATTGAGTCAACTGGCGTGGTTTCGAATCCCCGGTTGTGCGTGACAAGGAGTAGGGTCGCATGTCCAACCTCATGGGTTTTCTCTGGGTCCTCCGGTTTCCTCCCACTGCTAAAGACCCTTACATGCAAGCAAATTATAAAATCAAATTAAACCATATGTTAGTCCCAAAATGACCTAGTTTGTGTCGAGTGGAGGTTAAACCACATTTCTCTCTCTCTCTCGTCTTGTAGAAAGAGAGTGCACCAAATTAATAATTGAATTTTAAAATTTTTATTCCTAAACATAGTTAATATAGTATAGTTATACATATAGTACACATAAAAAATATCCACTACATGTATACATTAATGTTTTTTGTAGACAGGGAATACTCGGAATTGATAATTGAATTTTAAAATTTTTTGAATTTTGTTCACTAACATAGTTAATAGAGTATAATTATAGATACATATATTAATACATATTATATTACATACATGAAAAATTTACTGATGTTGTATCCTGTAGACATATAATACCCCAAATTGATAATTGAATTTTTAAAGTTTTTAAACTGTGTTCACTAACATAGTTAATATAGTACAGTTATAGATACAACACTGTACATTACACACATAATAAATTTACTACTTGTACCATATACATGCTGTTGTGTCTTGTAGACAGAGAATGCACCAAATTAATAATTGAATTTAAAAAGTTTTTCAAATTTTGTTCACTAACATATAGTTAATAAAGAGTACAATTATATATAACATACATAATAAATTTACTACATGTTCTATACATGCTGTTGTATCCTGTAGATAGAGAATACACCAAGTTTATAATTGAATCTTAGAAGTTTTGAAATGTTTTCCTCTGTTTAGTAACACAGTTAATATGGTACTATTTTAGATACCTACATTACATACATATGAAACCTACTACCAGACATGATATTGTGTCTTGTGGATAGAGAACGTAGTAAATTAATAATTGAATTTAAAAGTTTTAAAATTGTTCTGCAGTAACATACATTTACATGAACAATAAAAGTTTTATAAAGGTAACTGTTTTTTCCATGATGAATGAGTTTGTATTCTCTTTTGGTCCTAATTCTTACACGGAGAAACACAGAGAAATAATTCAGAGAAGGACATTACATCGCATTGTTGAAACATTACATTACATTGCATTGTTGAGACATTACATCGCATTGTTGAGACGGGCCCGCATTTATGTAAACTAAGTCCACATTTCACATTCATGTAAACTACATAGGTCCACATTTCCCATTCATGTACAGTAAACCAGGTCCACACTCCAGATCCATGTAGGCCAGGCCTCGAGTTCACAAAGCATTCTCAGACTTAAATTAAGAAATTACTCAACTTTCAGTCACTGTTTATGAGAAAGATCTTTAATCTAGAAACACAAAACTTTGCTCATAGTTTCTTATTGATGTATTTGATACATTAAAACAACATAAGTTTTATAAAGGGCTATATTTTAGTTAAAATTAGGCAAACAATTTTGAGAAAATTCTTAAAGGGACAATAACACTCTTGCTGGCTTGACAGCTCCAGAAAATAAAAAATAGCCTTATTCTAAGTACTAGATGTGTTAGTGTCCTACCTGTTGTGTAAATTATCCATTAAATCCTATTTTACTTGTCCAGAGGGTTCAAAAATATTTTTAAATCCAAGTTTCATTTGAAAAGGTTTACGTTAGACGTTTCAAACCATTATGTTGAATTTTTCAAAATTTTTAAATAAGGTGTGTTAAGATGAAATTTGTATCATCAATTAATTGAAATATTCTAAAATAGTACAATTTGTTGACCAGAATAAAGATTGGGACATATTATTCAGTTACAACAAGAGTGGTATTGAGCCT